TACTGGACTCCGCTGGACCCAGAGGTCACGTTCTCCCCGTGACCCTGCCCTACCTTAGCTTTGACGCGTCACGACGACATCTGGTACTGCCGTGGACGGGACGCCGTCTCATACTCGGCACTTATCACATTCGAGAGGCGGACAAGCTCTCCGCACATTCCGCTGTATACCTGAAGTATTTAGGTTTTGAGGTGCGTCGCACAGATACCGGCTCCTCTAGCTCGCAGCGGCAGCACAGCTGATATGTAGCCGCGAGCTGGCATGGGGGGGGCAATGCCCGACAAATTTTTATTTCGCTCAAGTTCTGGAGGCAGCTGCCTATCCCTCCAAGCAGGACAAGAGCATGTCCATAGGTTCTTTCAATTTTGACCCACAGCCTAGGCTGACGTCATCTGCCCAGGAATGTTAGGAGATCTGAAATGCATGCAGATGCACACTGCACATGCGCCTGCGAGAGCCACAACGACTAACACATGCCTACGCTTGCCAATGCTGGCAAACTGTCTCTGAGGTCAGACGACACTCTCCCGGCTGTCTCCGCTGGTGCCGATCTTCTGGCATGGCCGGACCAGAGCCCCTGTCCGCCACGCTGCAGCTTCAGCATGACAAAAGCCGACGCGTTTTTCTGATGCGCAGCCGGGTTCAAGAACACCGACGGCACCAAACAACACTAGGCTGACACTGCAGCTAGCTTAGCCAAGGGCACCAACTTTCCTACTCTTGCACACTTTCTTTCGCCTTGCTCTTTCTCCAAAGACTCGCCACGGACGTGTCGCTCAAAGCGCACCGGCTCTGGGAATGGCAGCCACACCGACTACGCCGAAGCCCTTTTTGGTGCTCAGTGACAGCACCTTGCAACATTTGCTATGGCAGGGGGCCAATGGCCAGTCATACGGCATCATTGACATGGACCAGGGTGCAATGCACGGCCATGTCATCTCCTGCCCGGGTACGACCCTCACAACCGAGTACACGGGTGGGCAGACACCCAACCCTGCAGTGTTGGAGGTGCTGGCCTGGCAATTCATCCGCGTCCTCGGAGAGACGCGCACATTCCCAGCAGAGAGCCAAGCACTGATCAACTTCCTCCGCGACCACTACTATGACGAGGTCAGTGTGCGCATGATCCCCATTCGCCAGAGTTTATTGCCCCACAAGCAGAAGGCTTATGACTGGATCGCGGAGCTCAGGGACCAATACGGCCTAGGCCGGTACGAGCTCAGCGATGAAACCATCATGAGCCTCCAAGGCCCCCATCCTCTGGTCGATCAAATCTACAACCAGAACAACTGTCACTTTCGGCCGGTGGTAGCGGACCGAGTAATTGGCTTGTTGGTGTCCCGCTCAATTTGCACGATGAGACGCCTGAAGCCCAACGCGATCCACGTTCTGGTTGTCTGTTCATGGAACTGCAAGGGGGACAATGTCCACAAGGAGATGAATGCCACTTTCGACCTTTGTAACGCGGAGACACTGTCGGAAGTCGGAGCGGTGGCCGCTCGCCACACGGGAAAGGCATGGGCCCTTCGGCCATTCCTTGAGCCGAATGCAAGTCGCCGGCCCATGCCCCGCACCTTGTTTCAGACATACATGCATGATGACCACCCCGGTCCCAAGAGCATGTGCCGGGAATTCCTGGCCGATTTCGAGCGCACCTTCTGCAACGACGAGATTTTGCTGGAGACCCTCCAGGTACATGCTGGAGAAAGCGGTGAAAACTTGATCAGAAGCCTGCGGCAGCCTGCTCACAAGGCTGATGTCTTCAGATATGTCTACCACTATTATCATGGTGGCCTGTACCTGGACATCAAGATGGCGCTGAGAATGCCCTTCGATACAATTCTGGGGCTCCTCGCCTCAGAATGGGACAATGTCCAAGTTCGCAAAAGCAAAGAGCTGGGGCAATGCCCAAATGGTGTGGAAGGGGTTCTGCCCCGGGAGTACCTGATCATGGGCATCGGGGTCAAAAACGACCACATTTTCCAAGGCATCATCTATGGCCAACCGCGCCATCCATTGATTCTTTGCGCTATCAACCACGCTTTTAGCAGGCAGATCCTCACATCGGTCGCCAATCTTGACTACATGATTTTCTGCAAGGAGCTCTGGAAGCTTCTCTCCAATGACATGGGCCACGCCCCAGTGCCAGGATGGAATCAGACAAAACAATTTGGCCCGGTGTATCTGCTTCGTGAGCCCCAGCTCACCAGATCCAAGGAGCTAGAATCCGATGGTCACTACTTTGAGACCAGCAGACAGGTTCGTGTCGCCTTTACCCGCTGCTGGAGCTGGCGCAAGGGCTTCAAGGGAGACCCCAGGGCAGCTCAGCGAAATGAAAACTCTCTCATGCAGAGTGTACCCCAAATAATTTCGGAGGTCATTGAAACCGGTGGCGCTGCCTCCGCAGCACCACAGTCAGCACAGGCGGGAGCAATGCTCACCAATGCAGGCGTCCGAGTTGTCGGCGAGACCGTGCTCAGCAGCCTTGAGCGAGGTGACTTTGATGCGATCATGGCCGCGGTCGAGAAGGAGCCGCAATACAACGGCATCTCGGCCGAGGCTGTCCTTCGCAACATCCCCCGCGGCCTGTGCCTACACCCTGAAGACCAAGACTGGCTTTCCTGCCGCTACTGTGAACGCAAGGGCCAGCGCTTGAAATTCCCCAATGAGTTGGGAGTCACACACCACTTCATGCAATCCAAGCATGACCGATCCCCGCCTGAACCACCTGGTCCGCCACCACGCAACAGCATGTGGTCACAGCGCCCGGCAGAACCTGCAAATCCCCCTTCAGCAGAAGCTTTAGCAGCAGCAGGCCAGGCCCCACCCCCACCAGAACCCACGGCGGACCGACCGCCCCAGTGGCGACCCACTGCGTCGGTGTCTAAAGCACGCTTTGGGCTAGGACTCCCTCCCATTCCACCAGGCCCTAGCCCTCCCGAGCAGGGCCACCGGCCTCTTGCCGTGAAAGAAGAACCAGGGGTCAATGACCAGCAGGCGGAAATCAAGGATGAGCCAAAGGCCACTGCTCCCCCCACGCTGGACTGGACAGAAGACACTGTGGGAACACCGGACTCTCCTATGCCTCCGGCGGGTACACAGTCGGACCCCAAGTCTGCTGGCTCTGGTCAGACCAGCGATGCGCCGACCTCCACCCAAGCGAACCAGGCTTCAGCTCGCCGACTTTCCACCAAGGAGACTATTCCGCAGACTCCAGCCCCGGGCACCACCACCTCCTTTCCCTTTGTGGATGCACCCTCCACACGCGAGGAGGTCAAATACCAGGGCCCGGTCACTACGACCAAGATGGTGGAGTACAGTGTTAACCCCTCTCCGGAGCAAGAGGCCAGTGAGCTGCCCAAGCGAGATCAGATTGTCCACATATGTCAATCTGACCAGATGCTGGAGTGGGTTCATGCTTTCGCGACCATCTCAATTATGAAGGAGCAGGCCATAGTGGGCGGCCTCACTGCCTCCGAGCAGGTCTACCTGTGGACCAATCGGTTTAGGGCACTAGGCAAAGTGCCATGGATCTTTGCCCCAATCAAGAAGGTCGCCACTGACAAGGATGCCAACTGGCTTGACATCACGCAAGCGCGGCTAATGGTCGGGGCCAATGGCCAATTCACACTATCAATTGGTCAAGATGATCGCTACACCGAGCTCAAGTCCACCACGACCTACTATGGCATTGTGCATGCCCTCTTCCAGAAAATGTGGGACCACTCGGACATGAATGCATTGCTCGAAACGGACGACAACTTCGAGATTGTGGCCTCTACCTTCAAATGCATTTACGACCAGTCCTCCAGAAAGAGTGGAGGCCAAAATCGTGCCATCTTCTACCAGCCTCGAGACGGACAAATTGTCCGCAAGCTTCGTATCGAGCATAACAAGGGCGACACAGCCACCTACCAATGGCACCGTCAGCGCGAACTGCGTGAGCAGCGCGAACAGCGCGACAAGCGCTCTGGAGAAGAGACACAGTCTCACACAGACAAGCGCCACAGAGACGGTGACGCCTGGAACCGCGGCGGTTGGTGGAATCGGGGATCGGACTCCGGAGCCAGTGGCAGCCGCTCCTGGCATCAGTGAGTTCCGCCTACGACCAACGGTGCCACTGGCAGACTACGCAATCCACCGCGGAGGCCATGCCTGCTTTTCCTCGTCTCTTCCGGAACGGACTGATAGCCCTTTTGCCGGATGCCGCAGCTGTCAGTTGGAAAACAAGCCCTCGCCTGCCGCCGGTCGCGTTACTGCTGCCCTGCTCTCCGCAATGCAGAATCACTACCCATGTTCAGGTACATGCAACAATCTGAAGCGTGCTGATGCTTGGCAGCCTGCAAACTCGCTTTGGCTGATTACTGCCAGTTAGTTCAAAGCCTGTAGGCCGCCACATCCAAAGGTCTTTGACCTGGGCTGATCAGCTATAGGGTCTGAGTCAGTTTCACACCAAGTGAGTGCACCGCGGCAATCGCCCGCTATGTGCAGAGCCCGCTCGCACAGCGTTCAATTGAAAAAAGTAGTGCTAGTAGAAGTAGAAGTGCCACTGCCGCCACCACCACTCCTCTTTGGCCGGCACAGAACGGCAACCAGGCAGAAGCTTCCAGCGGGCTGTCCGAGACCGAGGCGGGTTTCTCTTATGCTCTTCCCCACGCAGCTCTTAAAGTAACCTACCCTAAACCCTAAACCTTTAACAAAAAGCCCTAAACCCTAAGCCCTAAACGCTAAACCCTAAAAAACCGCTAAACCCTAACTCTCAGCAGCCCCGAAGCCGATAGATTCTTAATCCTCTGACTCAGCCGAAAAACTCACAAACCCTGAACCCCAAAGCCCAACCCCGTGAATGGATTTCATGAGGCCGGCCTCGAAGTGGCCCGGAACCCGATCTCTCTCTCTCTCTCTCTTTCTCTCTCTCTCTCTCTCTCTCTCTCTCGCTCCCTCAAACAGACGCTGCATTTTTTTTTAAGCATGCTGCGGCTTCTGAGGACAAGAAGTACATGGCTGATTTGACGACCACCTGCCAAAAGAAGGCATCATCATCTCTATAGCCCTGCGGCCCTCAACTGTGAGTTCCTACAGCCTTGAAGCTGCATGAGGCAGGGGACTTCGAAGAGCGGAAGAAGCTTCGTGGAGAGGCCTTGCAATTGCATGATGTGACGGATGAGAGTTCCGTAGAAATCCCAGGACCCCTGAAAAGGGCATCCCTTAAGTTACGGAAAGGAGCTCACTCAGTTTGACGGAAAGCGTCATGCCTTCCAGGAGCTCGTTGCGCTGGGCGAAGCCATCAAGGCAATCTCCGAGGCGTTCCCCGCTTTCTGGTTTCATTTGTTCGACCCACAGTTTTTTGCCATCCCAAGCCGTGAAATCGTGGCCATCTTGCAGATCTCCGGCGCCAGCCTTGCGCAGACGGTCCGGGGCCCATGGACGGGAATTTCTCGAGGGTTTAGGGCCTAGCATTTCAGGGGGTTTGGGCGGCTGTGAGGAGTCGGAGAGCCGGTTCGGGGGTTTGGGGGACTTCGGGTTTCGGTTTCGGGTTCATGGGAGACACGACAAGTTAGATGAAGACGTGAGCTGCGCCCAAGGTGAAGACGGCCTCGGCCCTGGTGCAGCTGCGAACCGACGCGGCGAACCCGGCGCAGGCATCGCCGACAGCAAGGGGACTCCTTTTGTTGGGGATTTTGGTTGAGGGTTGTGGTCCTGCCCCTCCGTTCCGCGACAGGCCCAAGTGGCTCGTTTCCTGCAGAGGGAGGTCCGGTGCCGACTTGCGAAGCAAGTCGCAGTTTTGGAAGGGCCGAGGGCTCTGAGAGGTTCTATAGTTTGTGCCTGTTAGGCGTCGAGTCTGAACAGCCGGCTTCTCTCCGCGCTTGCGGAACGTGCACGAGCAGACCCAATGGGGAAGGTGGGGTTCTGTACGGGGAAACTTGGTAAGCTTTCGTGTAGTTTTGTGTACTACCTCGGACGTTGAGCAGAGCCCTACCGTAACATGTTAAGTCACTCCGCCACAGCCAGAGCAGGTCAAGCAGATGATCGAGCAGCTGATTGTGCGACTCAAGGACCAGGCTCGCAAAATGCGGGACATGCTGGAGCTTGGAGACCTGAGACCTGAGACCTGTCCTACACTGTGCCAGGCCAAGGAGGAGACGACCAAAAAGGCGCAGACATGCTCACACGACTCGCGTTTGAAAAGTCTGCCGGCTCCATCAGGGTTGGTGCGATGCAGAAATGTCGACGAACAAAGCCACCCGCGAGGAGCCACCGAGCCTTTCTTTGTGCCCAGATCACCGGAGTGCATGTGATGTAAGATGGCAGGAGAAGTCCGATGCCGTGAGCAGTTTGAAGGCAGAGATCGATGAGTTGGAGGCAACCGAGCTCCTCAACCACAGACTGGCTTCAGTAATGATCGCCGACATCTGCAGGCCCACATCAGCAAGCTGGGGGAGGCTTGTTCCTTGCTGGGGCCGCCGAGCGCGCATGTGAGCCTCAGCCTGGGTCGCTCAGGAGATCGCCAGCTTGTCCGGTGAGCTGACCGAGCTTGACAATGCCACATCCGAGGCGGATCAAATTGTTGACCCTAAATGCCTAAACTCATCAGCCCTAAATCCCCAATCGCGTAACCAATCCAGACCTAAACCCTCCAAGCCCGTAATTCCTTGGCCAGCCTCTACTAGTAGCTCCATTTGCTTCCATGCAGGCGACCAGTCTCCGGCAGAAGGAGGAGGCCAAGAATGAGGTGCGGATGCCGCTATACCGCTACCGCTACCACCACCGCTACCGCTGCCGCTGCTGCTACTGTTCCTGCTCCTGCTGTTGCAACCATTAGGACGACCACGACTACTGCTCATTGTCGCAAGGCATGGATAAATAGCAATCGTATGATAGTACTGGTTATAGTCTTCTGGTAAGTAGCGGGCGCAATAACAATAGTTTATAATATCAGTGGTCTACAAAGAGCATCAATAGGAATATGATGAAATTATAGGACGTGATGCTCCATCCCGCGCAGGCAACGGTCAAGGAAGCCAAAGAGGGCCAGGACTTCCATTCTGACAGTCTTTCTCGAAGATGTGTGCTGTTGTTGCTGCTTCCTGCCAGGATGCGGTGGCCAAGGCGGTTATGGTGCTGAAGGAGCCACGGGCAGATTCCATCCCAAACAGCACGAACTCATGCGGACATCGACTGAGGACTTCTATGCCAAGGTTGGGAGCTGAAGCACGAAAGCTGTTCCAGTATATATGTATATGTGAACAATTATTGCGTTTTAACGTTTAGAGTGCTGAAGTAATCATAAACTCGGATGTGCTCTTGTGCCCAGGCTGGGCAGTCCACGGCACTGCTGCAGAGCTCTGAACTCCATGGAGCCCCTCCCGTCTTCGGCGACGAGCCCTACACAGGTTGCGGAGACACCGTCTCGAGAATCCCTGCACTGCATCTTTGGGGACAGGCATGCAGAAGGCCAAGGGCGGAGTGGTGGCGATGCTGGAGGCCTCGTGTCATTCCTCTTCTTCTCCTTGCGGTCCTCAAGATCCCAAAGGTCCCAAGAGTGAGAGCAATTCGGACTATTCTGGTTGTGGCATGTCGCCAGGTGATCGAGTCAGACTTCTCTCGGATGGAGGCGGAAGCCACTGCCAGCGAGGCTAGACCGCCACTTGTTCTCACATTGGAAGGTCATGAGTTGCACTGTACCAAAACGGCATGAGCGTGCCAAGTGTATCTGAGACGAGTCTGCACTCGCAACAGGCAGCATCAAAGAAAGAGTTCGAGAGCTTTGTGGAGGACCTGGACGTTGTTTTCGCAAGACTTACGGCAACGCAGGGTGTGTGTGCGTCTGTGTGTGTGTGTGTCCAGTGTCGTTTGCAATATTATCTACACTACATCTGGAAGGAATGAAGGTGGCGATCATGATGAAGCTGACAGTGTTGATGCTGATGCTAACGGTGCTGGTGTTTCATGATGGTGGTCATGATGATGCCGTTGACGGTGATGCTAGCAATGGCGACTCACGATGCTCCCCAGAAGTACTTGGCGTGGGAGCCGAATGACCGATGTCGGCACATCGGCAGACTCCTTTTAACCAGGTGTCCACCGTCAGTAGATGGTAGAGCTGGGCACCCATTGGTCATTCGCGCACCATGAATTGCACGTTCATGAATTCGGAGCAGCCTGGCTCAAGCCTGAGCAAGGAAATGCCGCATTTTGTTGATGGTCACTCCTCCCCCCCCTCTCCCCCCTCCTCCTCCCCCCCCTCCCCCCCCCTCTCCCCCCCCCTCTTCCCCCCCTCACCCCCCTCACCCGGCCCACACCCAGCCCAGACACCCCACCAGCCCACACCCGAGAACCACCCCGTATTGCGGCGACTGCACAGCCCCCGCAACCGAGTTTGCCAAGATGCCATTACGAGCGGAATCATGTGATGATTTCAGCGCGGTTCACTAAGCAGGAGCTGCCCATGATCTGGCACTTCGCGGATTTCGATGTCGGCATATCTAATTTGAGTTTTCATGCTTGACAGCATCCTGCCAGGAGAAGGTGAAGTTCTTTCAGGCTGTCCAGCAAGAGCTCCAACGAAAAGGAATCAGAACGTTTATGGTTGACACGAAGTTGGACTATGGACCAGAAACAATCCGCGGACTCTTCAATGCCAAGATCATTCTGGCTTTGTGTACTTCGGATTACGGACAAAAGACAACAGGAACGTACGAGACCCATGAGGAGCTCAAGTATGCTTTTGAACACAGCCAGGAAGTCACGCTCGTTCCGGTGAAGCTGATACCCTTTTGGCCCCCCGCCCCACCGGACCCGGAAGGGCAAGCCTTGTGCAAGATGGTGTTTGGGCCGAGCAGGATATTTATCGACGGCATCGCGACGGATGCTCAAGGCAATGCCGTGTACAAGCCCCCAGAAGAGCTGGCCAGCCTCATCATTGCACACATTGAAGGCTTGAGCCAGGATCTTCTGGCCAGTGTTTCCGAACTTTCCACTACTCAGCCTGTGCATGTCTCTGGCTATGCACCACATCCTCTTCCTTCTGTGCCTCTGGTCTCCTATGCCTGTGCTGACGGGCTGCAGGTGCAGGCTGGTCAGATTCTGAGCAGAACTTGGTGAGGGTGGAGTTGCTCCACAGCAAGTCAAGACTCATGTGTTCCTTTGTGTCCGCGTGGGAGCACAGTAGCATCCACGTCTTAACAATCGATCTGGTGGTGACAAGGAAGCCTTGTCAGCCATCTCTGATGCCTCACGGCGAGGATGCCCAGGGAAGGACCGCGTATTCGAGAACATGCTCATACTGTTGGGTACATTTCGCTGCAGCAGAGCGCCGCAGCATCTGCTTCTCCAGGAAGCACCCCGTTGCCGATGGAGAGCTACCACCTTGCGCGACCAGCTCAACAGTAGTTCGACCGGGTGTGTTGGTGCAGATTTGGAGCAACAGCGCAGGCCTGTGGCTAGGCCGCAACGTGATTGACTGGTTCGCCTTAGCCTGCTTTGGTGACATCTCAGACTCAGGTGGATCGAAGGAACTGTGGCCGAGGCCTGGCCTGGTCTTGCAGCCTTGACAGACGGTTGACATTGTATGGAAGCCAGGTGACATCTCACGATACGGTAGTAGTCATCTTCCAGCTGCCAGACGGGACATGGGCGACGAAGGCTGGCGATGTATGATTGGCAGGCATAGTGCTGTGGCTGTGCCGAGAGCTGCGTGCAGGAGTTGCCTTGTCTACACGAGCATCTGCGTTATCAGCGGTGACCCGCATCCAGCATTGGTGACGCAAAGCCATGCGTTGGCGTGTCAAAGACATGCTCGATTGGTTTGGCAGATGCTGCACGGTTGGAAAGAGAGCAATATATATCACCGCGCTAGAAGGACTCAATCTAATTTGGCTTCCGCTCTCATCGATCGGTGACTCAGCCTTACATATTCTGATGTCGCCTATCGGAGGTACAGGAGCGACAAGCCGAATCATGTCACGTCGTGTTTCCAGACAGCTAAAGCTGTCTCCCTCAGTTGGATGCAGAGCATCGGCCTGAACGGGAGGTTGCTTTCGAGAATAATGTTTTGCTGCTGTTGCTGCTGGTGCTTAGGTTTGACTACCTGCCTGTCTTGCTTTTGATAGCTGTATAGCTGTATAGCTTGTGTCATGTGTGGCAGCAGGAGTCCAAGATCACCAAGGCTGAGAAGTCCAAGGCCGTTCCGTCCTTTCATGCTGTATACCTCTGCTTTGCCCTCCCTGCTTGTCTTCCGTGCGCGTTACAGGAGGTAGAGCACAAGACATCCTCCAAGCAGCAGAAGAAGTCCGAGCTCATCACCTTGCAGGTGCTTCGCGGACTTGCGTTTGGGATTTGAAAAAACTTTTCATGGCCAAGGCTGACCTGCAGGGAACTCAGAAGGACCGTGCCGCGCCCTGCGCAATTTCCAAACGGGAAAGCTTCCGGGAAAGCTTCCTCCAAGCAGCCGCCTCGTTGACTCTGCCGCAGGAGCTGGATGCGGCCGAGGTTTACTTCGAGAAGCTGAAGCCCGACTGCTTGGATGCCGTGGTCCCAGCCGCCAGGAAGCAGCATCCGAAAGAGGCAACTGCCTAAGTTCAGGCGGGCCCGAGCTACCAGGAGAGGAAAGCTCGCAGAGAGCAGGAGATGAAGGATCTGAAGGAGGCGCGCCGCACTTGGCACGCCTTTCTTCTTAGCTGCGAGTCGCGCAGCCCCTTTGCAGGCCCTCGAGATGCTGGATGCCGCGTGAGAGCACCGTTTGTTTTTGGGTTCTTACCCAACGCCGTTTCACAAGAGGCCGTAAAGGCTCCAGAGAAAGAATGTGGTTCACGCTTTTCACTCCCTGCTTGGACTTGTCAGAGGCAGTGGTTAGGGGCTGCAGCAGGAAGCTGTGTGAGGCTTGCGTCAGCCTGAAAGCCTCCCCCGTGGCACTGTATCAAGCTTTCGCAGATGCAGGAAGGCGACAGAGATGTCTACCCCCTACTCCACATACTCCAACTTCAACAGTCTGCTCAGGCAACATCACAGTTCACATTGATTGTCGGATGCCCTAGCCGTCGCCTGGGACTTCATGTCAGGTCATGCTCCCGCAAGCAGCCAGCAGAGAATGCATTCTCAGCGACCGGAAAATGCGCGGGGACAAGCCCTAGGGTCCACTCATTAAGCCAAACTCCATAAACCATCCCAAGCCAAGACTTGAGACGGGACATATTCACAGAGCCCGCCGACTCGTCGAAACTGGCAATGCCAGAAGAGCTTCTACCATGGCAGCATTGCAGGCGGCTGCGCCGCTCACTGGAGCGGCCGCTCGCAACGGTCTGTTACTCCCTGGCAGGCTGAGTTGAAGTCATGGACAGCGAATCGCATCGGTGACTTGACACAGGCCCGGGATTCCCAGCTTTGTGATGGTCTCTCTGCCATGACTCCACGGCCAGACCCGGGATTCGGACTGCCTGGAGATTGCCGAGTGCATCCTGGAGAATGAGGATCTTGCCGACCCAGAAGCCTTGAAGGCCTATCCTATCGGGCCCTGGGAGTGGTACCAGTTATCGTCGCCACGCGCACGGTGCTGCTTTCACTTTTGTCAGTTGTCGGCGATTTCCCCAGAGGCCTGGCTGAGCCCCTTCGTCACGGAGGAGAGTGCCAAGCACAAGGCGACGCCTCCCCGGGCCCCGGGGGCCCCGGGGCCCGGCGCTTTTGAGCCTTGAGAAACGGGGACTCCCCCTCAGCTCTGCGACGGATCCCCCGAAGGGGCCAAAGACGCCGGAAGAAAGAACCTAGACCCCAAGATCCAAGCCCGAAACCCTCACGACCAAGCCTGTCAACAAAAGAGGGCTCTGGAGCTTGAGCCTGATGGAAGCTCGTAGTTCACACCCTGCTTCCGGTAGCAGGCGGACAGCTTCGTGGAGGCGCTCTTCGAGCAAGGTCCTGAGTGCGGAATCATTGGATGTACCCGACATTGTGGAGAGGTCTTCGCTCTCGTTAAAGCACGTATTGCTTGGCTAAAAAAACCAGTACAAGCACTTAAAACCCCAGAGCTTATTTTTGCTCAGAGGCGGAAAGCGCAGATCGCCTTGCTTCAGTCGAACCCTCAAGGCACAGAGTGTCTTGAAGTGTGCAGCGCCGGCAGACGCGACAGCTCCACTTCTTCTGAGCTTTTTTCTATAATATTATGCTATACCTATACCTGTAATCAGGAACCCCCAAAATAGTATAGGTAAGTGGAGTGAGAGTTGCCGGGTACGTCCCGTGGCCAGGTGCGGCCGGTGGAGAGGCGGTGCTTTTGCTGCGTTTCGGAAGCTGCGGTTGACATCGGGGCTCCCGTTGCAGGCCAAGGGAAAGTCCAAGGATGGCAAGGGTGGGGCGAAGGTCCGAGGAAGTGTGCGTGGAGGGTCTCCTTATGCGCTCTCGCGCCAGGGCGGACGGGGCCGAGGAGAGAAGGATGAGGTGAGGGTCCGGCGATGACCGGTGCAGAGGCGGTTTGTCTCCGGTTCAGATTTGCAGGACCGTGGCAAGGGCAAGAGTGGGAAAGGCCAGCGCAGATCCTTCTGGATGCAATCCTCGAACTTGCACTTGAAGCATTGCTGGCACTTGCAGGTGAGAAGCAGAGAGTGCTCCCGACCATGGACATGCCCTTCCTGCCTCGCCGCGAGGCCGGCTGGACTGCACAGGAACTCAGTGCCTCTGTGCCTGGGTGGTGGGCCTTCGCTTCAGGGGGATAAGCGCCTGATGGTCGTGGACGCTTCTTCCGGCCGCCACAACGCCAGCCTCTGAGATGCTCTGCAAGCCTTGGGCCTTCGCTATGAGTGCCAGCACCTTTAAGAAAAGGTCCTGACGAACTGCCTCAACTGCGGAAAGGCGGGGGCGGGAGCGGAGGGCGGCTGATGGGTTCGCTGAGCGATGCTCGTCATTGAATGTCCTTGCTGCCTTGCACTCCAGGTGATCACCGAGCAGGAAGGCCGGCGCCGGGGTTTTTCCATGGTTGACTGAAACCCATGTCAACGTTTTCAGCGCCTTGAGGCTGGGGCCCGTGCCTCTTCTGCGGCAACCCCTTGGAGGCAGCAAGCTTTCTGCCAGTGGGCCGAGAAACTGCGCGTGTCGAGCAGGTTGGAGACCGCCGGACAGGCATCAAGAGAGGTGATGAGCGAGGTCGGATAGACATGGATGGCAGGCCTCCTTGCTCTATAGCTCTCCGGAGTTTCCAGTCTTTTCTAGGAGATACCCCGCAGGCCAGCTGGTGATGACGACGAACGCTACAATGCCTCGTTCCAGCGAGCGGTTGCCACCAAGGACAGGTCTCTCTCAGCCATCTTGTGGGGCACCTGCAAAACCCGTGGATCCAGGACCGGCTCCTAAGCTACGACCGGGATGCAAAGCGAAGGACCAAGGCCTCCTGCAGCTGCCTGCGGCAGCTGAGCTCAGCTTCTTCTGGTGTCAGGTCTACGATGATGCGACTGACTGGTACTCCGAAGCCGCGAACCCCTGGCTCTCCGAGAAGCAGAGAGAGGAGGCGCCGGCGCTCAGAGCTCGACTTCGCATCTTGCCTCCTCCCTCCCCCTCTGCAAGATCAGGCGAAAGCCAAGGGGCAAGACGAGGAGATGTCGGTTTCGGGGTTGTCCCCTTTAGTTGTGAGCTGAGACTGAGCCTATTCTAATTATTAAGGCCCCTATGTTAAGTCTGTTAAGTCCTATAATAATAGCCCTAATAGTAGCAGTTCTTGCGCCAAAGCCAGGAGAGGCGCCGCAGGGAGGAGCGGCGGAAGATCCATGCGACCATCGACCTCTTCGGCCGGGGGTGCCCAGCCGGGGGAGCTCCGGGAGCTCCGAGCTTCGAGCGTGGCTGGGACGGACGGAGGGTGTTTTTTGCAGCTCAGGCCGGACCGTCATTGACACGAGTGCCGATGTTGAGGCCTTCTGCGTACTTTTACCTTGCAAAGCCACATGGGCCAAGCCCAGACTGCCCTGAGGCGAACATGAAGAAGAAGGACGCCGTCTTTCAACGACATTCAGTGTGTTGTTCATGGGACCGTGACTTTAGCGCAGGATCGAGAGGCGTTTCAAGAGTGGACCGAGGGGGTCACCCCGGCGCGATTGAAGACCACCGACTCGACTCAGGGTAGCGGGTTCTTAGACAAGATCACACCGACTGAGTCTATTCTAATTATTAAGGCCCCTCTATCAAGTCCTAACGATAGCCCTAATAGTCGACTACTGTAGCCTTGTTCTTATCATGTACAAGCCTCTTCATGATCGCCGTTCATGTGTGCAGTGTCATGCTGAGTAGACTCGATTTGAAGCTTATCCCAAACCCTAGCCCACGTAATCCCTGGACCGAAGATCTCTTGACAGACTACGAAGAATCAGCGCCTACTGAAGATGCTGGAGGTGCCGGCTTGTCGTTTCTGCATCTTGGAATAGAGGCATGGGGGGAGGGCTGCTTTTCAGTCGAGCAGTAGAAAGCACTTGCCGTCTTCGTGTGTAACTTGTGGTTGCATTTTGCTTGCACAGCCTGGCTTCTAGATTGGGATCGCGACACACCCGTACAGCTCTCTGGCCCAGAAAGTAGATTGCATAGTTGACTGTCCGCCGTCCGACATGGTTCATCAACCGCGCCTTGATTCAACCTTCGAGAGTTGACACAGGTACGAGGCTAGCGAGGTAGCTGTCAGCAAGTTGCATCCTTGAGGACGGAAGGCTGCGCTTACGAGCTCAACGACGAGTTCATCAAAAACACTTTCATCCACATTCCGGCCCCACCAGAGCCCGAGGAGCTCAAGCGAGGACGCACCGCCCCCCCGCAGGTGGGGTTGAGGGTTTAGGTAAGATGTTCAGAGTGCTTGTATGGAAATGAGAAAGGTTTATGCACACACATACGTGTACGTGGATATGTATGTGTGTATGTGTGTTTGTGGGTATGTGTGTTTGTGTATATTTATATATGTACACGCATATAAATAAATAAATAAATAAATAAATAAATAAATATATATATATACACACCCACCTATGTTCATATTTACATTTCTGCTTGTGTTCATTTCTTTTTTTGTTTATATATATTGTTTTTGGGATTGTTATCTTTGTTCCTGTTTTGTATTGCCACTGCCCTTTGTCAGTGGTGCTATTCGTACTAACGATGTTGCTTATTCTTGCTGCTAAGATCATGTTCATTGGAGCAACAATAATAGTGATGATAAAACCTGAACAGTGATGATAAAGCCTAAGCCCTCAACCTCCAGACCCTGCACCATAAATTGTGGCATACACTGTACCGGTAAATACTCGCAGGACAAAGAGGGATGATAAGCCCTGAACCCTCAACCCCGATTATGTATTTTTTCTAGCAAGACTCGAAGTTGCGGAGAGTCACCTCCAACCCCAAACGCCTAAACCTTAAACCCCCTAAACCCCCTAAACCCCCTAAATCCCCTAAATCCCCTAAATCCCCAAGCCCCCTCAACTCGTCTCTGCAGGTTCATGATGTGGACACCGACCGCGAGCCCGAATCCGAGGCCGAGCCTTGTGTGGAGCCCGTGGAGTCACTGAGGCTCCGTCGGAATAGTCAGGCCATTATGGTGTTCTTCAGGTTATTATGGTGTTTTCTGATTATTGTGACTGATTATAATCATGATTATGCCTATTGTTTTTTCATAAATTGTACTACTACTACTACTACTACTACTACTACTACTACTACTACTACTACTACTACTACTACTACTACTACTAGTGACTTCTTCTGCTTCTACTCCTGCTCGTGCTCCTGCTGCTGCTGCTGCTGCCGCTGCTGCTGCCACTGCTGTTACTACTGCTGCTGGTACAGCTGGTGGTACAAGTGTTATTGTCATGACTACGCTTTCTATGATGGTTTTCCTTTGATTACGGTTGTTGCTGCTGGATGTCTGCTATTATTGCTACTATCAGGACTATTTCCTTAACATTCTTGTTATTGCTGTTCTCAAAAAAGGGCGCGGGATAGTAGGTTACCGAGCCAAAGAGCCGAGGAAGCTTCCTGACTTCGGCTTGAAGCTTCCGGACTTCACGACGCTGGGCTTGGATCTTATGGTTTTTTGGGGTTTAGGATTCAAGAGTTTAGGGGTTTTGGGTTTAGGGTTCTACGATGTGGGGCTTCGGTCCAGGGCTTAGGGCTAAGAGTTTTAGGACAAAGTGCATTGCAAGCTGCCGGGCAAAGCGCGCGGCAGAACACATCCCGATTATGAGCTGAACAAGAACCGAGGAATCCATGGACGGAAATCGAGAACACTGTGCCATGCCCGGACATGCTTTGCCGTCACCGCACACACGACGTCTTTGAGAATGGAGATGGCCACGGCATGACATGGCCGATGTATCCCGTTGAGGGAGGCTTGGACGTTGAGGGACAACTTGAGATGGACGAGCTGAACTATGATGCAAGCTATGGCCAGGGAAGCCAAGGGAACGAGATGACGAATTTCGTGCATGGAGCCTGGGAAGGACAGGTTGGAGTCCAGACAGGTGAGGTGATGCATCCGGCACCAGGTACAGCGGTGTTCGTCTGCTCCTCAGTGCCTGCAGCGTGCAAGGGCTTCTGCTTTTGTCTACTCCGGCCCTGCTAGCACAAAGCGACCCAAGGTCTTGCACCCTCCTCCATGTATGGCTTCAGATGGTGGCTTTGGCAGTTCCCAGCCCTACCTGGTGCCCATGCACATCAGCCCCGTGAACTCCATGAGCCCCGAGAATCTCGGCTGGCAGATGCACGCCATGTCTTCACCGAATTGGTCGGGGGAAAGCCCGGCGCCTGAGCTTCCATTCACGTCGCCAGTTGTGCCCATGCACAGCTTTTTTCCAGAGGCAGGTGAGGAAGTTCCGCAACAGGAGGTCGTCAAGCTCCGCAAGGAAGACTTGCTCCCGGAGTGCGACGAGATCTCGGAAGTTACGCCTGCACTCTCTGACATCGACAGGTTCTGGGATGGACTCGGGGTGGACATGCTTCATCAGCCCCAGAAGATCGGCCGTTCGCCGAACATGGAGCACGTCTACTGGGTGGTGGATGCCAACAAGCTCAACGACAAGGCGAAGGTCTTGGTCTCGCCGGAGTTCAAGGTGACGAGTCCAAGCCGCTCGGAGCTGAGCTTCAAGATGGTCATGTATCCCAAAGCTCCCAGGCGGCGTTAAGGCGATTTCTGGAACCACTTTAAGCGCCGTGCGGTTCTGACGGTTTTCGTCTTCCTTGATTTGAAGAGCTGAGATGCTGTGAGCGTCTTCGAGAGCAGCTTAGGATCGAACATCGTTCCGCCAGGCCGCTGGAGAAGGCTTTGTACAGTTGAAATGTGAGAGCGACACTCAAGACTTGGCCGAGTGCTCTCTCTCCTTCCGCCTTGCCATTTGCAACGGCCGCTTCTTGGCCACTTCTTGAAAGGTCTCGGATTGAGCTCGTGGATAGAGGCGATAGAGAGCCAGGGTTTTCGCCCGAGGCCTCACGAAGCCCTCAACCCCAACCTCCAAGCCTAGGCTCGGGGGAACAAGCAAAGAGGGATGGTCCCGGCAATCCGGTGACCTGGGACTTCAAGAGAAGCTTGGTCTGCGATGACGACGAGGCCTTCGGGGAGCATGCCCTAGCGAAGTGTCACGCAGATGCGAAGATCCCGAGAGGTACGTGTGTTCATGATACTGATAGCTGCTGGATTCTTTCTATTTTCGCATCTTTCTCATCTTAGTCTATGGCTGCACTACAAATGTCACTGTCCACTATCATGAATCGAGCATCATTTGTGATGTCTAATGTGCCAGACGTGCTGTACCCATGGGCGGAAGGTCAAGAAGATTTGGAACTTCAAAGACGTTGTCGACAAGAAGACTAGGACTTTTGCAGCTGCCAGGCAGCATCCATCAGCGTTTTGGGGACTCCAGAACCAAAACCATCCAACACCCCAAAACTCTAAGCCCTAAACTTTCAACTCCCCCCATGTCCAAAGCCTTGATCGAACAAAAACGATGAACCTAAAGCCTTAAACCCATGACCCATGATGGCCAAGCTACAAACTTTGTAGCAGTTGATAGAGCCCCCATAACAGCACTCCATTATCGAAAGCCACTGCACCCTAAACCTTATCCCCTACAGCAGCTAAGCCCTACCCCCAAATCCTATGCCACCTATGCTGCCCCTAAACCTTAAACCCCACGAAATGTTTGAGCCCCAAACCCGAAAAAGTTCTATACCCTGACCCCAAACCCCTTGGATCTTGCTCAGGTTTGCATCGAAATTCTTTCCGTGGTGGCATCGAAGCCCTAAGCGTGCGACACACCAGCAGGCAGCCGGATGACTCGTGGTTGGGGCTTTCTATTGTTCTTTACAGCGTTTATTTCAGGCTCTTCACGCTTCGATGGTTTCTTTAGCATGTTTGTTGTCGGTTTTTCGCGATGCAGGAGGTCTTCTGGATTCAAAGGGTCCTAAACCCTCAAGCATCCAACCTGAACTTTGAGCCTTTACATTAAAAAAGGTTTTGGGGCCCATTATACTATAGCTATAATAAGGGCCCATTATACTATAATAATGATAATGATAGTTATAATAAGGAACCCAACAAAAAGCATCAAAACCAGGTGGTTTGCATGGTTTTTGCGTCGCAGAGTCGCCGAGTGGCGTGGTAGTTGCTCGGCCCCTGGGCTCTATGGTAAAGGGATCCGTTCAATGCTTTTCTTTTTTTTTGGGGGGGGGGGGGGTTCGGGGTTTATAGGGGTTCGGGGTTTGGGTGGGGGGGGGTTTAGGGTTTTTGTAGGGTTTAAGGGGTTTAGGGGTTTTATTAGGGCCTTTTTCGGGTTTATAGGGGTTCGGGGTTTAGGGCTTTAGGGGTTTAGGGGTTTCGAGGTTTAGGTTTCAAGGCTTAGGGTTCAGGATTCAGGGTTTGCGGTTGTTTCTTGGAGGTTGTGGCGGCCTAGGGTCTGTGGTTAACGAGGCGACGGATTTGGAGGTGTAGGACTGTAGGCGTGGCGAAAGCTCAACTTCTGTTTTGTGTGTGCTCTGCAAGGATTCTGCCAACCTTGCTTTCAATGCACAGCCCGGAGTCGTGAGTGACTCGGAATCTTGTAAAGCTGCGAATGTCCAGGTGGGTGCTTAATTTGTGCCCCGTGCCTTGTGTAGTTGGACTTCGAGAGCAATCTTCTGCACATCTCAATTTCTGGAGCTCGCTTTCTGAATAATTAGCACTCCGGCATGCTCCCGCAAAGTACCTACATGAGATTCACGACAGTACACTAAGTGTTCAATGTAATTCATGGATGCCGGTGGAGCGCAACTAGGGGTACCGTTCTCGGACAAACCTGCGTCGACAAGACCAGGGGCAGAGAATGGATTGCCGACATTCAGAGCGGGACTCCAAAGGCAACTTTTCAGACCTCGAGACCAGTTTGAATAGGAAATTCATAGCATAGCAATCTGTTCAGCACCCGTGGCGAAGCATTGCTGCCGCCGCACGCATGTGGCCTAGTGCCTGGCAAAAGAAACGGCACGCCGTCAACGAAGCAGACGGGTTTCCATGAAAGAGGTGGCATGCTTCGCCAGGCCGGGAATCCCACCCCCAAACCTGGTTCAGGAGCAGCGTGGCATTGGTGGCGCAAACGCCCAGATGTCTGACGAGTCGCAGAAACTCTATGAGAGGTTGGGCTGCGGCACGCACAGCCTGCTGCGATTGCTGCATGTTGTTGTAGTATATCTAATTGCGAGAGTTGTGTGACTTAATCATGGCTGCTGTTTTTTACGGTCGGCATTTAGAATGCTTTGACATATTGCAACAACCATCACAATTCTGATGTCCCTGCATCGTTGTTGCTCATGCTGACGTCGTTGTCATTGCCTTTACCCCCAAGTGGCCTTGCCATTCTGAAGACTACTGTTGGCATAGTCACCGCGGTTGTTGTCAGTCAGGTCAGTACTGACTACATCATGCACAACTATCTGTCTTCTTTACTTCGTCCTCAAGCCTGTGTACCCCGTACCCTCAACCACGAATCCGCTAAACCCTGTACCCTAAAACCTAAACCTTCAAACCCTCGGCCGAAAGCCATGTCCAACCTGCAGCAGGCTGCGTGCAGCCCTCCACGCCGCCGGCACTGGCAAGGGCGCCGAGGGCTCAGCATGGACAGTACTTACATAAAGGGGGTTTCTAAAGGGGTTGTTTTACAGAGTTTAAAAGGGTGGTTAAAGGATCCGGGGACTTCATAAACAGATTGGTGTTAGAGTTATAAGTTATGAGTGGGATGACCAAGTCTAGGGATACCTACTACTCCACTGGCAACCTCTGCACTATGTTCCCTAATTCACCCTCTCAGCAGTAGGACCACAGAGCTTGGAGGACTCTGATGGTTTGGGCTTGGGGTTCTTTCGGCATGTCTGGAAAGAGCCGCGGCATTACCTTAGAGGGAGTAATTCGGGGCTCGAGCTCAGACCAATACACTGCAGCCTTAACCTTACTACTATTCCTTACACCCCAAGCCGTACTTCATCTTTTTCTGCATCTTAAATCCATTTAAGTTTCGAAGCGAAGACTTCATAGCATCCTCTAATAAGGACCCCCAAAACAGAACCCCCCTACCAGTAGGGTCCGAAGCCTCGCACCGAGCCTCTCTTCGAGGAGAAGGGCTACGAGAGTCTCAAAGCGACCAAGGACGCAGGCCCAGCCGCCTTGGCAGAAGAAAGGGAATATGTCCAGATATCTTATCCTGTAGGGTTTTGGGCCCCAACTACACTATAATTATACAAAAGAACCCCCAAGATAGTGTAGCTTCAGCATCGAAAGTGGCTGCATTGCCGTCGCAGCTCAAGCTCATACGCTGACAGGTATGGAAGGGCGAAAGACTCGTAGCTGGAACGTGAGTGGAGGTGATCGCGTGGAGGCGCAGTGATTGAGTCCGTCCGTGGGTTGAAAGTTCCAGTCGTCTGGTACGTTTGTGAGGACGAGTTCTCTGCGGTCACACTTCGCGATTTTCAGGGCAGCGAAAGGCCTCTGCTGCCCGCCGAGGACGATTCGAGTAAAATCCTAGCCATGTGGGATGTTGCAAAGCGCTTGGCAGCCTGAGCCCAGTGTATGTACCGCTGCTTTTTCATGCCCTTCATCTTTGTCTTGTGCCATTTTGCGTCAAGTTATGCTGAATAAAGGCAGAGGCAGCCATGTTCAGCTCCGGGCCGGTGGAGGCGAGATTGCTGCAACTGGAAGCGGCCATCTCGGAGATTAAGCAGGTCAATGCAGAGGCCCCTCTTTTCGGAAAATTAATTCCTGCCAGACTGTCCAAAGTCCTGTTAGCTTTGATATGGATCTGTTACCGCTTCCTGGCCAAGGTCGTGAAGCGTGTCGACCAGCTGGAGTTCGATTCGCGCCGACCGCATCCAGGCCTTCGGTGAGCGGCTGTCACCTTGCTTTGGTAGCCTGCTTTTGCAAGGCGTGCAGGGGGATCCCAACGGAGATATTGAAGCCAGTGAGACCTCGTCATCTGAGAGCGATCTCGAGTCTCAGCAGCACGGAGGTGTGCGTTCACAGACCATTCATGATGTTTGCGTTCTTGTCGTGGATTTCCACGACTTCGGCTGAGGTTCATAGACATTACGACACAAAGAACACAGGACTTACGGAGCACCCCGTGGAGAGCGCCGAGGGATATGTTTTTGAGGAAAACTGCTGGGATGTGGTCGTCTGCTTCGGACACCCTGCCATCGGTTATGGTTCATCCCTTTTGCTTCTGCCACTTGGCCACGGAGAGCAATTGCAGACAAAGAAGTTTGGAGCGAGTGTGATCCTTGCTTGTGGTGTGTTGTCATGCTCGAGGTTCCTTCTGGGACTCACCATTTTCTTGCAGTTGGTGTTCTGCTACATGGTTGCCACAAGCTTCACCGAGAACCCCTACGACACTTCTTCGCAGAATGCCCTTAGCTACTGGAGGATCGACATGGCTCACAAGGCCAGCCAGGTTTCCTCGAAGCTGGGCCTGCACTTAAGGTAAGTTACCATCAGTGCAACTTGGATATGTAGTATATGATGCGGTTCCCTGATGGTGGTATCTGAAATTCAAGACCTCTCCGGACCCGTATCTCTACTCATTATGGTATCTCCGATTTGGTTCCGTAACAAACCACTACAAGAGCCCGAAAGCCCTAAACCCTAAACCTCTGAAGCCCAAGAGCCCCAAAGCCCTAAACCCTAAACCCCTAAACCCTAAACCCTAAACCCTAAACCCTAAACCCTAAACCCTAAACCCTAAACCCTAAACCCCTCAACCCACAGCCCAGGAACTCGATGACCTCCTTGGCCTCCCGGGCCTGTGGCTTCGACAAGGCCCTGGCCACCTCCTTCAGCCTGGAGCTCAGAAAACAGCGCTCTCTTGTTTAGGATTTAGGGCTCCTTTAAGGGATCCCTTATGAGGGTACTATAGGATTTAGGGTTCCTTTAAGGGATCCCTTATCAGGGTACTATAGGATTTAGGGTTCCTTTAAGGGATCCCTTATCAGGGTACTGTAGGATTTAGGGCTCCTTTAAGGGATTCATAAGGGCACTAGAGGGGTACTATAGGATTTAGGGTTCCTTTAAGGGATTCATAAGGGCACTAGAGGGGTACTATAGGATTTAGGGTTCCTTTTGGGAGAAGGGTCTCGGGTTTAGGGATGTATACCCAGTGTCATGAAACAGCCTTCCTTGTGAACCGTAGGAAAAGTCAACTTCTCCAGAGTTTCCATGAGGTGGGGTTTGGGACTTCAAGGTTTTGGTGTTAGGATAGGCAAGGAGAAATCAGGGCGTCTGGAAACCAGGGGGCCTTGCTGGCGTCCTTGTGGTACCGGTACAGTGGGGATGCAGACGCTCAAGGTCTATTCATTAGTCCCTTACTTCTTAAGACTCGCACCTCCAGCCATACGGCCTTGGTGCAGATTAGAAGGGTACCTTTCGCGTACCTAAACACGTACTAAGGCGAGAAGGAGATTGCACAGAACATCTCGGACTACGGCTTTTCTTTCCTCAGCACCTAAGCAGTGCTTGAAATCAAGTTTTGTTTTATCATAATACCGACTTAAGAAGCTGCACGCAGTGGAATAAATTTAAAGGCTCGTAGGAACACCCCAGGTACTGGATTCATCATGTGTGCACTGGCCTTGCTGACCTGGTTTGCAACGATGATTTCCGAGTACGGAAAGCTCTTCCACTTTGCCTTGGGCCTCTCTGAGGTTTGGGTTTCAGAAAATTGGGGTACCTCGCTTGAGGGCCCTTGGAGTAAGGATCCTACCATATGGCGTTCGTAAGAAAGGGTCCCTCATTTTCTGAAACTCCCAGGTGCCAAAAGGCCACACCATCTTCCACCTGGAAGAGGATCAGATTGCGCTTGTCAAGCTGTCCAGGAAACGTCTAAGCTTTATCCTCACAACGGTCCTGGCACGGGCAGCTGTCCAATCAATCTTGCTTTGGTATGGAACACTTTACCTGGTCTACACCGAAACGGTGCAAGACCTGCTCCTCAACGCTGTGGCTCTAAAGTTCGTGCTGGAGGTTGCGGAGCTGCTCTACTCAGCTTTTGCCCCGCGGCGTACGCGCACCTTCATCCAGAGCTTGAAGCCTCTTAACTTGGAGCGTCTTGGGGCCAGCCATCACGACTGCCTCCTCCCCACATTCTTTTTGGCGCTTCTGTGTGTCATGCTGGCCCTGTCCTACGTCTTTTTGCTGACCCCTGCTCTTGAAGCTCGCTCCAAGACCTGGGAAGGCTTGTGCGGAGGCCGTCAGGATTTTGCCGTCGCCACAGATGGCCTTGGGCGGCTTCACTACAGTCTGACCAGCGAGTACGACGACACCGGAGAGACAGAGCTGACCTCCTACGTGCACCGAGCGACTGATCTCCTCATCAAGGATGCGCCTCCGGACGAGGAGCAACCTTGGAGCATCTACGTCTCGACCTTCGACAGCTTGAGGAAGAAGGTGGACTCCCAAAGTGTTGTAGAAGCGGGTGGCACTCGTCTATGCGAGGATGGGGACAATCAGAAGGGCGTCGATGAGTGGAGCCACATGGGGCTCCAAATTCTCAAGATGGTGACTCGAAATGACTCCTTGACCGACTGTGCATCTGTCGTGCCCTACTGCACTACAGTGGGCATTGCTGGCTTGAGGAGTCGTCAGTGGTGTCCGTTGAGCTGCGGCTGTGCGGACCCGCTTGGCGGTTTGCTGCTCGACAGGGTGACGAACGGCTGTCCGGCCGCCTGCGCCCAGAAATTGGCCTCTCTTGCAGAGTCTATCGACTGCAAGGATGGCGACTTGAACGAGACGATGCAGTACGCACTGGGGGCGAAGGCACTTTTTACTCAGAAGGGCTTCCAGTCCAAAGCCTTGGAGCTCCTGGCAGACCGCATGGTGGACCAGGGCTGCTTTGCCGTCGCCTATGGAGGCACCGCAGGCATGGACTTTTGCGTCGGCAGCAGCACACTCAGGGTTAACACAGTGAGCTTCCGCACGGTGAAGATGGTGTGTCCCGTGGCTTGTGGCTGCGATGGCAGCGGTCTGCCGGGCCACAAGCGAGACATGGCCACAGTGGGAGCTGTCGGAACCGGACTGCGGATAACAGGAGACACGGCTGAAGACAGTTCGGATTAAGCCCTAAACCCCAGAGGCCCTGGTCATTCCGCTAGAGTGCAGTGCCTTCTGAAGCAAGGAGTCTGCGAGGAGCAAGGCCGGAACGGAAATCTGTTGCATCCGACACTTTGCTTGGTGCATTCCCGCACTGCTCTCGAAGAGGCTGGCTTAACGAGACTCGCTTTGCTCCACATGGTGCTGCGGGCAGCGGAGCACCTGTCTTTCTGAATGAGGAAGGCATCATGTCCTGCACTAGACTTTCAAATCTCCACCAACTGCCGAGTTTGGGGCTGGGGAGTAAGTAGGGTTCGGGGTTGCCGTCGTGATGATGGCAGCTGAGGTCAGATGTATTTGTATCATGGGCCGCAGTGTGCAGCGGGAACCATTGGATCGCGTTGGATCTTGTCCCTTGGCGAAGGGGCTACTGCTGCTACTACTGCTACCCCCCACCACGACCTTTCAGAAGTAGGACACCGGCCAACTAGAGTAGAGATAGCTCCAATTTCACCCTTGAGTAAGTAGACCTTAAAGGCTACATCCCTGAGCCCCAGATCCCAAGTCCCAGTGCAAAGCCCCAGTCGTGCGCGTTCCAGATTCTCGACTCCCCAACCCCTGCAAAGCCCTTCAGAAGCCCTCAGACAGCCCTTGTAACAGCTCCCGTCAAAAAATCCTAAACCCTAACCCGCCTCAACCCTAAGCCTGAATTCCATGAGTCCGACGAGACCGAGGAGCCCCACCCTTTGCAATGCGGGCTACTACATGGCCTACACCGTCGACCACGACTCCTCAAGGCGGGTTTTGCACGACTCCATGCGGCTTATACAGTTTTTTTCTATAATTAAGGGTTTTCAAGGGTTTTAATAGGGTCCTAATGCGGTGTTCAATCAGGTTTCTATAGGAGTTGTCTTGGAGGTTTAAGGGTTCTGCGCCCGCAACTCTTTGCTGTGCCAGGCCACCGGACACAGCGACATGGTTCATGGACTGCCGAGGGTCTGGGTGGCAAGAGCATCACGGCCGAACCGAGCAAATTGGAGTTGTCCTGCAGTGGACTGCTAAACCCCAAAACACCTCTAAGCCCTAAACCCTATAAACCCTAAACCCCTTGACGCTGAAACCTGAAGCCTTCAGATCGTGGTCGTAGAAGTTCCTGCCCTGTGGTCAGCTGAGGATGACGAAGCTCGACCCAACGTATTGATCTTTGTGTGGTAGTCCTCAGTATGCTGTCCTACTCCTAGGCTTGCTTGATCTCCCGCATATCAGGTTGAAGTTGAGCCCGCTTGTGGAGGCATCTTGGCCAAACGAGCTGCTTCTTTCGGCCGTCCAAGTGACGGCCGTACTTCCGTCTCGGAGCAAATCTTGCGCACTCAGGAGAAAATCCCTGGCAATGTTTGGAACCGGGTCAACTCCAGCTTGCAAATCACCAGCAGCCTTTGCGGGGAACGGAAGGCCCTCGTGAACACAGCAGCTTGTCCGAGACGCTTTGGTGCAGCATGTGAGTTGGTTGCTTTTCTTTGCACATGAAGGGTCGTGCTTTCACTCTCAGATATTCGTTAGTAGTGGACTGAAAAGGTCTTTGACCTGCAGGGCGAGACGGACAGTGGAGCTCCTCTCTACAGGCCGGCGAGCGATGCTTTCTTAAGGCATCGTTTCATCTGTGGGCAAGTGCTGTTTGGTATCTGCTCTGCTTGTCGCTGGCGGCAGGGCGTCAGACGGGAGCTACTTGTACCACGGAGACTTGGCAAAGACAGCAGAACAAGTCTAGAGATGTCTGCAGATCCGCCAAAGCCCACGGCAACAGGGTACTTCAAGTACCGTGTTCTCAGGACCTCACTGCGGTCTTGGCCAAAGCGGAAAGAAGTGGATCATTAGCCCAGCCTTATGTACACAAGGCCCAGCTGCTGTCATCATTCGTGCAGCACTTGTCATCATGCAGCACTCTTTCATGATCTGGCTGTGTTTAAGAGGAGCCTGCCGATTCACGTTTATAGTCGCACGAAGAACAGCCCGAACAGGCCAAACCAAATACAAGCCAGTGCAAACCGAATGCAGTGTCTGCGAATGGCCTGGCTCGCAAGATAGTCTAGTTCTTCGAGCTCGCTGAAATAAACTCAACGTTTTTGGGGACAGGTCGAGTGTTGCGGCATTGGATGAGCGAGATGCGATGCTGTCCGCGCAGGCTTCGACTATGCGTACATCTTGTCAGAGGATGAGTATGGGCCGCCCCTTTCATCCTCTCAGTGGTCCGTGAACTGTGGCAGGCAGGCAGCTGATGCAAATTTCACGTTCCTTCGGCGGTTCACAATCTTTTCGAGGAAAGGCTGGCTGACCATGCCGATCAAGTTCAGCCCCATCACACTGTCGCTTGGCTACTTCCTCCGGACATGTGGGGACGGACTTTTGCCAGTCAGGTACGGCCGGATCAAGACGCCGAAAGGCTTTTGCCTGGAGCCTTGGCACGGAGATCCGTTGCTTCAGCCGTGCACGGCAGATGGCTCCCAGTTGCAGCTTGCCTGCACCCTTTGGGAGTAGGGAGAAACGCAGGAGAGACCGGCTAGTTGAGCTGAGGTGGATCTACAATGCAACAAGCGGACTGCTGAAGGATCGGCATGGCGAATGTTTGGAGGCATGGACCCCGAAACCCCGAAGATGACGAAGTTCTAAAAGGAGCAGGCAGCACAAACAAATTTGAATTTTAGACTTAGGGTAACATGAGTCGCGCATCCCCTCGGATCTTTTCGCTTTAAGACGTGGCGAGACGAGACGAGGCCCCAGTCGTCGGCGCTTTCCCGTCACAGCCAGTCGCTGGGATTCTTTGGGGGGCCTTAATGATTAGGCTGTAGGGTTCCTTTAAAGGGGTCAAAAAGGGCTACTATAAGTGGTATTATGCGAGCTTGTTCAGGAACCTGAAAAACTTGATACCATAAGCGAAGCAATACTCATGATAGTCACAATGACACGAACAACTGAAAGACTAACAATAAGCATCGCAATCGTAGTTACAATGACAATGACCATGGCAGCAGCAATAACACTAGCAGCAATAACAGTCATCAGAGTAGCTGTCGTACTAATAGAACTGTTAGCGACTATGGGAATAACCACAAAAAAGCACCGGACATCCCTATTGTAGCAACTGAAACTAGGTACGTCAACCTTTATGTAGGTAAGTTCCTTTACGATAGCCCAGGTCGGAACTCCCATTCACACCACCGCCTGCGATCCTGACTCGGCGAGTCAGAAGTGGACGTGCCCTGCCCACGAAACCGTGCTTGCGGGTTGAGACCGTGCGGCTTAGGATTTGGGGCTGGTTGGGGTATGCAAGTTGTCGCGTTCCGTGCGCAGGTACGACAAGGACACGAAGCAGGCCGGGGCAGAATCCCTCCCCCGAGTGGTGCCAAAAGTGCTCCGTGCTCGAGATCAGGTGAAGCTGCAAGCCGGCAACTGCCTGGATGCTGCACAGCCGGACACGGTCGGAGGCCGCGTGCAACTCTTTCCCTGCCACATCGGCAATGATAATCAAATCTGGGTCTTCTCTAAAGATTAGAGAAACGAGCGATTTGAAGCTCGGCCCGATTTGTTTCGGTCATTCGCCATGAGCGTCGCTCAGTCAGAGCGTGGTGAGCTGAACGTCATCGCTGCGTGAAAACAGTGTGGCCGTGATCTGTACAGTACGGTTTCTAGTGTGGTTGGAGAAGGCACTTGTTCAATCATGATCGCCAAAAGAGGCGTGAAACAGGTTTGCTCTCGATTCTCTTTTGGAGGACTGTCGCTCGGAAGGATGGACAGTTTTTGATTTGGGCGAGGTGCCCTGGATTGGCATCTGGGATCGCTTTCTCTATACCCGTGCCAGTGCTGCGAGAAAAGGTGTTCACGTTGGCTGTGGCATAATCCTCCAGCTCGAAGGCCTCCGTTGAATTCCGCCTAATTACGCTGTTGAAGGAGAGTCCGTATGGAGATGCCGAGGATGCCGGACAGGCGTCGCGAGAGAGGAAGCCATTCCTCACACCCGTAGTTTGCGACGGGGAGAGGAGTAGGAGTAGGAGTCCTGGGGTTGAAGTTTTCGGATGGGTTGCTCCTGCCTTGGCCAGTGCCTCTCCATGCACCAGCCGTGGGCTTCCTTGCTGGTCTACGGGTTCAAGCGCGCCGAAGGCCGCTCGCCCTGGTCTCAGCCCGGTGCCGATGCCCGACGGTCACCCTGAGACGACAATAATAATAATATTAATACTAATCATAATCATAATCATAGAAGCTGAGGTGGAGCACGGATCATCGAGGTGGATTTCACAGAGAGTGAGAGCAGCCGTGTGCAAAACCTGGTGCAGAGAGGCCGGCTCTGGATACACGCGACTTCCAAAGCCCCGGATCCGGACGAAGTTGCCGCGTTAGAAGAGAGGCTGGCAACTGCGGAAACTCCATTTTTCTTGAGACGAGTGGGAGGCACAAGACGGGAAGCCCGATGCTGCTTTACAGGTACCGGGACATCTACGAGTCTGCCGGCGTCCCCATTCCGTGGAACACCCAATCTCTCCCAAAACAGATCCGCGAATAGCTCTCCTATCTAAACACCGAGGCCGCTGCCCTCGAAGTCGGGTGGCTATCCGACTTCTGCCCTGGGCCTCAGAGCGCGGTTGCGGGAAAGTCTCGGAGTCTGGGCCCCGCCGCGTCGAGGCGCTCCTGGGCTGTGTCGACCTGGAAGCCTGTTGGACCCAAGTCGAGTGCCCCCGGTAGCTCTGTAGACGTGTCTTCTTCATTATCGTTGCACACACGCACAGTCAATCAACAAACCAAACGTAGAGATTCATTACCCAATCTTCTCTCTCTCTCTCTCTCTCTATCTTTTTTTCTAATACATATATATATATACACAGATCTATCTCCGTGTACATGAATACATACATACACATACATACATGTACATGCGCACACGCTCACGCTCTTACATTTCTGTACGTCTGGGCTTCCTCAATCCTTTGACCCTGAAGCCACAAGGCCCCAAATCAGAACAACTTTGACACTGGTTCTTTATAGTATAGTATAGTATAGTTATTATAGTATAGTATAGTTATTATAGTATAGCTATAATATAGCTATTTTGACACTGGTTGACATCCAGGTATGCCAGCGTGCTGGCCCGGAACCCTTCCATGCCTCAGGCTGCTGCATTCTTTGGGAAACCCGAAGCCCCATAAGCTGCTAAGCCTGAAACTGCCCTCAACCCTAAACCCTCTCCAAAGCCTGAACCCTCGAGCATGCGTACATCGTCAGTGCAAGGTGAACGTAAAGCCTACACCTAAACCTAAGAGTCCTCAAGCCGGAGCCTTCAAGAAACCGCTGGACAGGAGGAGAGCCAGAGCGAGCACGTTTTCTGGCCCGGCGCTGAGCTGCTTTCGGTTCTCTCTGCGAATGTTTCTTTCGCCCCGATCCCTAAACCCTGAATGCCGAAGCATACCGAGCCCCGAACCGCTGAACGCTTGACCCCAATCCCTGAACCTCCCAACCCTATACCTTAAGCAAGCGGAAGCAGGTGTCTGCGCCCACGCCGACTGCTGGTTCCCCTGAAGATGGGCGGCGACCACAAGGAGCACGACACGGAGCCATGACGAACTCTGTCAATTAAAACATTGCTGATATTCTCACTCTTATCAGTATCGTGGTTTTTGCTCTGCTCATTTTCATTGTTATTTTTTGTTGTGGTCATTGTTTGTATTTTTTATGGTTGTGATTGTCACTATCAGTATGGACAAAAGCCTCTGCCAACTCTGTAGCTGATGGCAGGAGAGGAGATAACCATTTTTCAAGCACGGTTGTGAGTAGTTGAGACTAGAAATGCCTGTTACCGTGAGTATAGCCATAGCCATACTGATGGCTACCCAAACTTTCGAGGAGACCCCGAATTCGCAGACAATTTCTGTGGCCGTGTACCCTGACTGGCATGTAGGATTGACCCTGACTGGCATGTAGGATTGACCCATAGCATCCCACTCAATCTTTTTGGATGTGGCTGTGGGCTGCTGCGAGTTCTTCTGAAGCCGCGTTTGAGTGGATCGGGGCGTGGTTGTCCACCGCGCTCAGTTTGCACGCCTTGAGAACAACTTGACCCCTAAACGGTACATGTCAGTACGATGAACCCACATCCCTAAGAACTTCTAGGCTCCAAGCAAGGAACCCCGAACTGTTAACCCTAAATTCCCAAGCCTAAACCTCCTCCCCAAGAAACGGAGTTCAAACTCTACAAGTGAAATCCTGAACCCTGAACACTCTCACCAAGGGTTCAAAAAAAAAAAAAAGAACACTCTCACCATGTGCTGCGCCAGATCTGGAAACTGGAGAAGTCGGCCCTGACGCCGGCGCAGGTAGGGTTTAGGGTTCAGGGTTTAGGGTCGGTTAGGGGGGTCATTGCATTTGCACAGGCAAGTAACTGTGTGTGTCTACAGCCAGACGAGTCAAGGCTGTGGAGTTCATTGGTTAATCATTCAAATAAGTAAGTCGGTGAGTAAGAAAGCAAGCAAGTAAGTATGGAGGTAAATAAGTACAAGTATATGGATAAGTAAGCAAGCAAGGGAGTAAGTGACTACGCATTCAAGTGGATGTCCGCATGCAAGTGCGCATGTCCTTCTTGAGGAGTTAAGGTGATACGTGTGGTACATGCTATTTCCCTTTTGTCTAAATCCGTCGGAGTTGGTCTCTTCAAAGTCCTTAAATCCTAAGCAATTCATCCAACAGCCCTAATCCCCAAATCCAAAAAACCAAGGCCCTAAACTTCCTAATCCTTAAACACCACCCCTTGAAGGAGCCCTTCAAACCGGAATCCTAAACCCAGAACCCTACTTGGAGGATCATGGGACTTAGTAAGTAAGGTTATAGGTACCTTAATTATGAGTATAGTTACCTTACTTATAACCCTAGTTACTAAGTGCGAACGGACTGCGATGCCTTGTCAAGTTCTAAGGTGTCACTATAAGAGCTGTGAGCAAGACCGTGTAAAGTGCAGGAGAAGGGGGCACGCTACGCGTCCCTCGACTCTAGGGGGCATGCCACGCATCCCTCGTCTTTACCTTTCTATGTGACCGCCAACGCAACGTTTGGCTCAAGTCAATGCCCGTAGCTAAGTGCTATATGTGTCTTCTATCCTGAGCAATCAGAGCTATCCCGTTGCACAGACGAACCGCCGCCGGCAGTGAGTGCAAAAGGAACGGCCGCCGGTTCTGCCTGCATAGGATTGCACGTGTGGAAGTAAGAGGGAGAGACAGGGTCCAGTCTGTGGAGAGTGCTAGCCAGCCACACCTACATTCATTACAGCTCTGGTGGGGAGAGCAGCAACCAAGTCGAGATCAATCCCCCACGCAGGTTATCAGCCGTACGCGGCTCTGCCTTTCTACAGCAACGACTACTTGATCTACTACGACCACAATGAACTCAGGATCAAGTCCAAGATACGACAATGACTTTCGGTGCCGATGTGGCAGCGCCAGCCGTTGGTGAGTCAACAGCTGATGACACAGTGGTGCAATCCGTTGATAGCTCCACGGAAGATGACAAAGGTCAATCTTCTGCGCTTGCCATTGCAAAGGCAGTTCCCAAGGGGAAAGCAAAGAGTCTACCAAGAGCATCTACGCCTTCACGTCCGACATCCACAGGTTCGAGGACGGGCAAGGCTTCAGAACGACGGGCCGAAGCGTCTGGTTTTCAGGCACCTCGGACTACGTCCAGGGCTAAGGACAAAGGAGTCAAGACCTTGGAGAAGAAGTCAAGACCATCATCTTCGAGAAGCTCTTCAGCACGATCGAGGACTTCGGCTACACGTGGGCGTGACAAGTCCATGACTTGGAATCGGATGGTTACCAATCAACCACGCGATTCTGATGATCTGGACATGACTCTGGATACGATTCCTGCACGTGGTGATGCATCATCCGTGGCCACGCCTGCAATAGCTGACGGTCCGAATGCCTACCAGGAGCTGACGATTTCGCAACAGTTCGAAGCATCGAACCTTGCACAGCAAATGTACTATCGCAGTCAGGTGCAAGAGTACGAAGGAATCGTGCAGACCCTGATGGACAAGATCAAGGAGATGCAACAAGAAGATGAAGGATCTGGAATTCGCATTGAAGAATTGGAACGACAACGTGATCATGCATGCTTAGCCATGAGGCACATCAACAATGTCAATCAGGAGATGAAGCGAGACTATGAAACAGCTTTGTTTCGCATGGATGAACAGAACTCTGCTCAACAACGTCAAGCACATGCCGTTGCCGAGGATTTAGCTCAACAGCTACACGTGTTCCGCACGGAGGCAGCCACCAACTTTGTGCAGTTGGAGGCAAGAGCGCAAGGTGATGGTGAGCTTATGGCACGTGAGTATGAGCGTCTGACTCATGAACTTCATGAACACGCCAGAGAGAACTTGGTCCTCCGGTCAAACACAGCAAGTTCGGAACAAGCCTTACAAGCAATGCAGGAACGATTCCACTTGGTCAAGAACCAGGAGTTGCGGGCTGTGAACGAGATCCAAGGGCTAGCTGGGAACAGCGCAGCCATTGAACAAGAACGATTTCGGCTTCGCGAACGTCTTGGTGAAGAGGAAGAGTACCGCAGAATGGCTGTGAAGAGGATGCAAGAAGCAGAGGAACGACTTCATCAGAATGAAGATCATGCAAGGCGATCATTGCCTACCTTGCACGACGAGCTGAGTGAACTCAGGAAAACGCTCAAAGCGCAAGAAGATCTTCAAGCGAGGACACGCAGCGAATTGGAGGCAGCGCGAAACTCTACTCAAAGGGAAGCGACGCGACCTTCGAGCATGCCCATGTCTTCGAGGACTACTGAGTCTGGCTGGGAGCACGTAGGAAAGGATGTAATGCCTGCATTTTCCGTAGGAGATGAGGTACGATCCCCTGAAATACGGTCCCCAAGTCAAGTTAGTCCAGTCGCCAAAGAGAAGTTCGCATTCTCGGAATCGGACAAGGACAAGAACCTTGTGATGGACGGAATTCCATTCACCGGTGGAAATTTCTTCACTGGCCGCAGTTCAATGCCAATCGTGGCGGATGCAATGCCCGAGCACCACGTGCCAGGTATTAGCAGTCCAGCGCTTGCGCGTTCCACGCCTAGTGCAGCCACGTTGTTTGGCATACCAAGCGGATTTCATGGGAAAAGTGATGCGGCAGCCGTGCGTGATCGACAGCTACGCGAACTCTTGGGGGATCGCGGGATGTTGGGATCGAAGTCCACAGCATCGGCCAGCTCCTCAAGACCTGTTGGCATCGACGGTGTCACCGCATCTACGAAGGGCAACGACCACATTGGTCCCCCTGTCGCCTTTGACGATTCCATCCATGAGGCAAGGAGGCGTCAGATCGAGAAAGAGATCGCGGAACAGTACGAGGAGAAGATTGCTGATCTGCGTAGTGAAGTACTCAAGGCTCAGAAAGCCGAACAACGTCTCAGAGCTGATCGTGATGAGTGGAGATTATTCGCTGAAACGATTCAAGAAAACAATGGAGACGATGACGGTGACGAAGCTGGCGACGAGAATGGAGAGGAAGAGCATGATGAAGGTACCGGTACGGGGTATGATCCTCCGGATCCGCCTGACGATGATGATAACAAGAAGAAAGGTGGAGGGGGCAAACCCGAATCGGATCCTGGTTCGCATGCGCGTGATCCTGATGGAGATGCGGATCCTGAAGTTACAGAGGTGAGAATTTCCAGGAGGGAAGCCGACAAAGTGACCGTTCCTCCATGGCCTACTCTTACTCATCTCAACAACTGGCGATCTGTGTGCACGGCAAATGTCTTAGGGGCATCAGCCGACCCACATCATGAGGACTGGATGTTATGGCTGGCACCAGCGTTCAACCCATTCCCTGATGTCGAGGCATTGAACGATTCAGGACACAAGAAGTTCAAGAGCATAGACGTCAAATTGGGGATCGCCATGGTCGCAATGCTACGTGCCGGTGGTGACAAATCAGCTGACCTGTACCTCGAGGTGAACCGGAAGGCCAACGATTACATCAGCAGGCCTGACGTGAAGATCATCAAAGGACGACAAGTCATTGCGATGATGTACGAAAGTTTTCGAACGCATGATCGTCTTGACATGATCATCACTCTTGAGTATTTGGTGAAGCTCCAGTACCAAGGCGACAACAAGCTCCATACGTTCAAGCAGACGTGGTTGGAAGTTCTGGGACGGATGAGACCAGAGGACATTCCATCCAAAACAGCTCTCCGTGATTGCTTGTACAGCAAGATCAAGGACTCGCCCGCAATGAAAATGGACTTGGGCATGCACTATGAGCACCTGCCCTACAATCATGAAGATCGATCGTACGACAACCTGATGAAGATCATTGATCGTACCATCATGCGGAAACGAGAACAGTCAAATCTCACTCAGACTCAAATTGGCTTGCGCCAGATGCTTGAGGGCAAGGATTTGCTGGCTGCACCGGCCAAGGTACCTGAGAAACCTACGCCTACCGCAGCTCCATCCGCAAAGGTCAAGGCTTCGCCGACCAAGCCGGACAAAGCAACACCTGTACTACCTCAAAGCAAAGCGAAGAGTCATGCGAAGACCAAGCCGAAGCCC